GTGGAAGGGACGATCCAAAGGTCTGGCCAAGTCTCCGCTCAGGCAAGGCAAGCGGCAGCAGGCAGCGGGCAGCGGACAGCCTCAGGGCCTCGAGGCTTCAGGGCTGAACCTGAAGGGAAGGGAGACACTGAGAGAGGTGAGTTAAGGTAAGAGCACCCGCCGGAACGTGCCTCGAAGAGCGGGTCTGATTCAGGGGTTAGCGGGCGTGGTGGCCAATCACCAGAGTCATGCCGTGGTGGTTGTCCAATTGGTGTGGTGGGATGCGTTGCAGGAACCAGCAACCAAGAAAGTCTAGAGAAGACCAAAAATCTCAAACCCTAGCCTCGATGGCAATCAGGGGGGCAGGGACCAACGGTTTCTGGGGCACCACTGCAAGGTGAGGTGCCTTACCTGGTAGGTAGGTACCTTAGGTAGTAGGTAAGGTAGGTAGGTGGTGGATATTGTCAGAAGACACCGGGCCTTTTGCTTGTGGACTGGCGGGAGATCCTCTCTTGTTGCGTGCTTCCTGTCGTGTACTAGGTAGCGCGTTTTACTCCATCAGAGAGGGTGTTCTAGGCGGGACCTGTCCACGAGGTAGACCTTCCTTGCTGGCTAGGTAGATACTGAAAATGGAATGAGATGGATCTGCTCGAGGCACGTGCCGTCTACGGATACCGTTCCACGCCTGCACTGTGAGGTACCGTCTTCAACAGCACACGGTGCCATTTCGATATTCTCAAACGGTCTCGCTCATCAGACAGCACCCGCGTATGCCAGAGCAGCCAGGCCGGGTCTCCCATCCTTCCCGTCATAGCCCTCCGCACTGCAACGAGGATCGCTGGTGGTGGTCACAGGTGTCTGTCCATCCGAATGTTCGAACAGCAGCATTCATTGGCAATGATTGCTGCTCTTATTGATTTCTCTCCATCGGACGCCCTGGACGAGTCGATTTAAAATTTGGCTCCTTCCGGACTAGCGCGTGTGCGACACGCCAGCCTGGTCCCGCTTCTTTTTTCTGTGCTCCTTCCACAGTGGAAAGAAGGGCCCAGGACACGCTCCCGCTTGGTGCTGCGGCTGGCCTTGCTGGCTGTCCCATCGCTGCTGCTCGTCTCGCTTCCCGTATTATGGGCCCCAGTCCACGTTCCCTGCGTCTCATTGAGTCTGGATCCCGTCTCTTGGTTTTGGGTTTCCACTTGCACGTTCATTTAATTAATGTCCACGTCCACTATGCCGTGCGCACACTTTGTATATAGTGTAGAGATAGATGATCAGAGAGGCTGATAGACCAGATGGAAAGGCATGCCTGGCCTACTGGGAAATTCGGCATCAAGGGAGGGAAATGCAGCTGGAATAGGGACAATACCTAAGGTATGGTACCTTTGCAACGTACAGTAGCAATGGAACATACAGACACACTCTTCCATTGCTGCACCTCACACGCACGCCGGACGCACTCTCTGGCCTGCACAGCCTCCTACCTGACCTGGCCTTATTGCTACCTCCTTACGGATACATGGCAGCAGGCGATAGACACGCTGCACGCTGACCAGGCCCAGGGACCTGCAGCAGCCCTTGCAAAGTCTCCCACCTTCACTGTGACTGGATTGGCCCTGCACCTGCTTCCGCTCCTGCTCCCCGGTCTGCCAACTGCCAACCTGAGCCCAGGTCTCTCCTCGCTCTCCTCTTTTAATTCCATTCCCCTCCCCCCGTCCATTCCTCTCGCTGGACTCCTTTCAACCCATTCCCCGACAACGGTTTACGGCTGCCGTTCACTGTCGACTAGAGAGAGAAAGAGCGAGGAAGAAAGACATTGGTTGCCGCCCTCGTCGAGAACGAGTAGGACGCCTGCGCGACTGTGGCCGAACAATAACAAATACCCGCCAAACACGCCGCGTATCCTACGTAGCGTATTCGTAGCGCCGCCGACAAACACATCCTGCCTGGGCTTTCCTAACGACTGGACAGCGGACAGCTCAGCTTACCCCATCCTATCCTCAACACAGCAGTCGACGCGCGACTCGAAGCATAGAGACGTCGGCCTGTAAGAAAAAATAATAGGGGCGGATTGCACCTCGACGCTCGATCGGGTACCACAAGCTCCAATCCAGCCCGCCCGTTAGTCGACCTTTTGGTTCCTCGATTAGTCGACCTGGCTACCGGTGAAAGTGCCTGGCTTGAGCTTTTCTTGCGATAAAAAAAAATCCACGCCGGCACCAACAGTCGACGCCACACCACGCCTTCTTCTTCGTTTGGTCTGCTGGTCCGGCTCACTTCTCCTGCCTCGCTTTCCACGCCGCCTGCTTCCTTCTTGGGCCAGCTAGTCGGTGCCCTTCATTTCGCACACTCGACTTGCTCGACCGACACCAGAGACACCAACAGCGCCCGCCCTGTTCTCTCCTCCCGCGCTGCGCCGTCGCCTCGCTGCCCCTTACAACTGTCGCCTGCTTTCCTACCGTGCGCAGTTCGTTCCATCGGCTTGTCTCGTCTCGACTCGATTCGACTCGACTCTCGACCTCCGTCGTCTTTTCCCATCTTGCATCCTTTCTCATCCGATTCCTCACTCCTTCGACTTACTTTCTCCCTTTCCTGCCTTACCTTGACGACCGCACCACATTGCTGCTGTCTTTGACTCGTCGCCTTTCGACAACTTGATTCCGACCATTCATTCTCTTTTTCTTTCCTAGAAAAGAGGCTGCCTTGCTGGACAACCCTCTGAAACGATCGACTCGCATTCGAGATTACAGATTCTCCCCCGCCTTACCTACGACCTACCTTTACCTCATCTGATCCAGCCTTCCTTCGCTGCCTTCTTCAGCTCAGCTCAGCACTTCCGCTCCCTGACGCATTGAACGGCAAACCGTCCGACAACATCCCCGACACTCTTTCTTTTATTTCGCCTACTAGCCCAACCACCAGTCACTCCTTTTTCGACGACTTGCATTCCCGCCAGCCACGACAACCCCCTTACGGCATCCGAATTACGTACAGCACGCTACATCAGCACTGCCTCGCCAATTCTACAAAACCGTTTGCTACGATTATCCACGTCGCAGCGCCTTGAAGTTGCCAGGTTCAATCTTTGAATCGTCACTTCAATCGAGACCAATCCTCGATACTTGCCTCAAGGCATCTAATTTCTGCACCCCACCAAACCCCGACCGTCTTCCTTATGCCCTCTTACGGTTCTCTGCATTCACCATCGTTGCGCAAAATGGAACAATCACGGGTTCAGTACGGGAGAAAGGGCATTAATCTGGGAAACATCATTGGTGATCCCTTCGCCCTGGCCACAGTCTCCATCTCCATGGTATGTTTGCGCTGCACAACTTCTGGTTTCAACTTGTGAACTTCTTGCTGACCCCTCAGTAGCTTGCATGGATAATCGCATTCATCAGCTCCATCATCGCCACGACACAGGTCACGAATAGCACAGGATCCTTCCCCGCTTTCGCATGGTGGACCGTTGTCTACATGTTCTTCCTCATTGCCGGTGTCTTCGTCGTCGTCGCATCCGATACGACACAGACCTACCATGTCGCCCTCACGGGATACCTGGGCGCCGCCTTGGCCCTGAACTCGCTCACCATCCACTCTCTCATCTACTCCGCCAATGGAGCTCGCCAGGCCGCTGGAGCTGGTTTCATTCTGATGGCTATGGTTACCGTATGTTTCGTTGTTGCTGTGCACTAGAAGCTTTGCTAATCCGCGCGCAGATCGTCTGGATCTTCTACTTCGGCTCAGCCCCCTCCGCCAAGCCGCGCGCTTACCTCGACTCCTTCGCGCTCCAGAAGGAGTCTGGAAACAGGCAGATGATGTACGGCGGCGGCCGTCCCGAGACTTCCACCTCGGTGCAGCCTCCTCAAATGTACACTTCGGCGCAACTGAACGGATTCGAGAACCCATCCCCCGTCCAGGGCATTTCCACCCAGCCTCGCGAGTCCGCCGTGGCACCAACATTCAGCACCCCCGGTGCCGGCCCCCAAAAGACTCCTGATCAGGAGGTGGTGCCACCAACCGAGTACCCGTACCGCGCGAAGGCCATCTACAGCTACGAGGCCAACCCCGACGATGCGAACGAGATTTCCTTCTCCAAGCACGAGATTCTGGAGGTCAGCGATGTGAGCGGAAGGTGGTGGCAAGCACGCAAGGAGACTGGCGAGACGGGTATTGCGCCCAGCAACTACCTGATCCTGTTATGATGAGCTCACGAATTTCATTTCGCCGTTGGAGATGGGAGCAAAAAATGACCATATGGGACATGGGATGGTTTTCGCGCTCAATGCTTGTTGGAGTACATTAGGGTCTCTTGTCCGGGATAAAAACCGCCGCCTTGTTTTCGAGCCACGGGCGGCACTCGTATATCCGCCGAAACGGCCTCTTTTTTCTTCTTCTACTTGTTGTTTTTACTTCTACCCGCCCACTTACGCGTGCCGGCTTTCCAACCCCGTACTCCTAGTGTATGTTGCCGACGCGCGACGTAGAGGGGGCTGTGTCTTGTTTTTTTCTGCTTTCTGGGACGGGTTACGAGCAACGGGTCGGATCATTCGGATAGCTATGGTAGCTCGCACGTGGGATACCCATGCATGTTGGTGTTCCCTTGTCGTTTACAAATGGCAATTGCACATATCCATATACAGTATTATTCGTGACTCTCCTCCATCATGCGATTACCTGCGAAATGTCTATCTAGATGAGAACAGCCTCTGCCTGTGGGCTCATGCTGTGCAAAGTACGTCCAGCTTGGTGATGGAGCCTCGCAACATCAGGAGCTGAAAGAGTCTCACGAGAGATGTGGCTCGCCAACTTAAAACTCTCACGTCATGTACTCGGCGTCCGAGGACTTGTCCTTTCATCGGGCCGCATCTTTCGGAAGTCACAGACCAAATCCAGTTCGTCGGAACGGGTCTGGGGTAGCCTCTCCACCTTCGTCATCGGGTATCATTTTCATCGTTCCGCATGCGTCCGCCGTCTCCCCCACAATCTCAAAATCCAGCTGAGGCACGACACCTGTGTCCCCCTTCTCAAGCCTTCTCCAACCTCTTCCTCAGTTCCCTCTCTTTTGACAGAACCTCCAGCTCCAGCCTCTCAACGCTGTACTCCAACCCTTCCCTCCTCTGCCTCACCGCCCTAGCCCGCAACGCCCGCTCCCCGTTGAGCGCCTTGCCCCTGCCTCCCACGCCCTTGCCCTTGCCCTTCTTCTTCGCGTACCCGTCCTCGTCGTCCCCGTCCTTGGGCTGCGACAGCCGGCCCTGGAGCAGCTCGCAGCGCGCCTTGAGGGTCTCGATGCGGCGCTCGCGGCGGGCGATCTGGGCGTCTGCGCGGTCGAGCAGGAGGGCGATGTAAGGCCCGATCTCGTCGCGCAGGGAGGCCTCGGCGGCGGCGAGGGTCGGTTGCGGGATGAGCTCGAAGTGGCGCGTGGGGCGGAGGACGGAGGCGACGCGGGGCAGGTCGGAGACGCCCTGGTCGAGGGTCTCGACGGAGGATTGGAGGTAGGTGAGGGAGTTGCGGAGGGAGGCGACGCAGTCTGCGTACGTTGCTGCGTTTGGTGCGGCGGACATTATGTTTTCTGTTTTCCCGTTTGTTCGCGCGTTGGGTCGGTGGTTTTGTTGTTGCTGGATGGGGGTTTGCGTCGTCGTGGTTTGTTTACTTTTCTGGTGACGGCCGACCGCTTTGGCGGGGTTTGTCGTCTGCGATAGATTGGTGACGGAGTGTGTTTGTGTTCGTTCACGTCGGTTGGGGAGCAAGTCGCGGCGCTGGCTGGCGTTGAGTGAGGAATGTTGCGCGTTGGTGCTTTTGGGGAGGATGTCGTGGTGATGACGGATGTGGTGTTGAGTGTTTTAGTGATTTCTTCTTTGTTTTTGGAATCGGCGGGGTGGACACTGCGAATGTCTCTTTCCCACGTTGTTTACTGGGCCCACCATTTCAGGAACGGCTGGACATGGGTGTGCCTGACTATCGGTGCACGGGCCAGCCTGTCATCCACAGGTGAGGGAGGTGAGCTTCGGTGTGGGATGGGGATGGGGGTCTTCACCTGAGCCTAATCCGACATCCTTCTTGGCAGAATTTCATGCGTCCTGCTTCTGGAATAGAGGCTTCATGCATGAAGTTCTTTTCGCAAAGGCATGGATCTGGCTGTTGGCGATGCTTCCCGGAGCGTCCGTCGTCTTCACCGCTTCTGCGGGCGTTGAAGTCTTACGATGTGATGAGCGTAGGTAAGCAGCCTGCCTTCATGGCATTGATCAGTCGAATCATCGTAGAATCATGTAAGCGAGACCGCCTCTTTCAGCTGTCATCAAGAAGCTCTCTGCCTAATGGCGCCGACAGCTGGTTCCCTCTGATTAGTTCAGCTCTTGCCAAGCGAAAGCCTCGCTCTGTATTCGGACAAGTCTGCTGACACCATTTTGTCCGGATTGCGAAAAAGCCGTTGGGCAGTCAGCGACGGGACGTTGGAATTATCTCAACCTAAAGACCGACTGACACCCTGTTTTCTGTGTCAAATATTCAAGCTTAACGGTTATTTCGGTCCGACAAGTTGAGTTCAACATCGCATGCACGCCGGCTCCTTCGGCCGGTCGCATGGACCCAGCCAACGTTCTCGCCGCCGACCTTTCCTCCCTCTAGATGATTAGGTTGACCGTTGTCGTTCCGCGGGCGGCAACCTCCCCGTCGGCACCCTTCCCACTGCACTCACGACTTCTGCCCAATCATGTTTCCAATAAGGGGCTGCCACACAGAGCCGCATTGATGGGGAGACGTTGGACACATGCAAAAGGTGCTATGCATGGTCAGCCCGGAGGCTGCTTACTCCGCTGCACCTCGCGGTATCACGGACGGCGTCTGATGTTGGTGGGAAATGTTTTGAACGACACCCACCCGGTGAAACATGCGCAGGGACGAACATGCTGTGTTTGACGGGATTCGAGGAATACTACTTTAATCGCCTCCAACCCAGCAGTTCGGATCTTGCTCCACTAACTTCTTCTCTCCACATCACTTGTCTCTCTTGCGCCTTTGGTCTACCGGAGTACTGCTCTTCTTTCTACGGCGTTTTTTCTTACAAGATACCCCTACAATACCTAATTCACAATGTTTATCGAGATGGTCAGACGTGCTGATGAGGTGCCTGCTGCCTCAAGCGTAAGTTTTGCTCTCCTGGCGCTCAGAAAGCGTCCATGGCATGAAGCGTGAAACTGACATCCAATAGACACCTTCCCCAGCAGCTGCTCCACCTCACAACTCGGGCTCCGATATGCGCATGGGCGGCCCGGCGACGACAGCTATTGCCATTGTTGTGGCACTCCTCCTGCTCGTCGGCATCTCGTTGATCGCCTTCTCAGAGCACCGCAAGAAGAAGAAGGCTGATGCCGCAAGGAGGAACGGGCCAGATCTGGAGCGGTGGGACACAAGGCAGTCTGTGGCATCGTTTGATACCATCGATGAGATCAAGGAGCCGCAGCCTGTGGCGAGGAATACGCTTCAGGGGCGACGGTTCATGTTTCTTTCGAGGAACCGCTGAGCATGCGAGTGGTCCGGCTCGTGACTTCTCAATATCAATACCAGGACGTGGAATTGTATTTAAGCCTTTGGAAAGAACCAAGCGTAAGAGGTCGATTTACATCAGCGTTCCTGAGGCCAGTTGTATTCTACGATAGACACCATCGAATGGATGGTGATTGGTGTCAGCTGAGGATAAATGCGTATTTGAATATCTCCCAACCTTTTCACGCTGTGCGTCAAGGCCTCAAGGCCTCGTGTGCCGTTTCGCAGTTCAGTGAAATACTATTGCTATCTTGTTTGGTAGGATGGATAATGACAATAGACGCCACCCAGAATTTTAAGAGAAGTGGTACTGGCAGAGGATCATCGGGCATGATGAAATAGGTCAAAATTATGTCAGATGGAGGAGGCGAGGTTGACAGACTTTGAGGTTGGGTTTGCAATAATACCGTTTTCAGTCTGACGCACGGCAGCTGTTCGATTTTACTATTCATGAAGTAGTGTCTCATTTGGGATTGTCCCTGATCTGGCAAGGCTCTGAATATGATACTAGCCAAAGTAGAACCTAAGGAGGCCAAGAACGCCTGAGTACTAGTGATACTTGCATGAAATTGCTAATTTGCCTTCCCGATAGATATCTCAACAGACAGCAAAACTCTCTCATTTTGGTCTCTCAATCTTAGATTGACGTCTTTATTAGTGTTTTTAGATAAGTCCAAATCATAGAGGTCAATCCCGTATTCGCGTCTGTCATTTCTTAGGTCCACGGATAAGTGCTCCAATCTAAAAGTGCATCACAAGAACAAGGTTCCGTGAAGCAAACTCCAGAGCATGTTTGGCGTCCATCAAATGCATTCACATATGAATGCTGCCCAGCGCTCGCGTCGGAGGAATTTTGGACGCTGTTTGTGGCAGTGCCCTGCGTGTTTGGGATAGCCTGATCGGAAAATTGAGGGCCTGAGTTCCTTTGCACGACAAGCTCCTGCAATGTTCCATAAATCTTTCTTGGAAGAGGTTCGTTCCCGAGAACGGACTCCGGTGTAGGCAAAAGAAGTCTGGACAGTTGACTGCTGCTTCCAGTATTGCTCGTGCTTGATCTGGTCTCATCCTCACTGTTCATGAGGCGTCTCGAGAGATTCGAGTTCAGAAATCGGGAACAAGCCATTAATACGTTGTGTCTTCGTAGATTGTCGTCGGTGAAGGTTTGGAACAGTCTCCAGTATCTTTCACCTGATTTAGAGCTGATGTCAAAGCCAGCAGATTGGCAAATCTTGCCACTCAGATCATGCACGAGGCTTTGGCACCTTTCGGAGTCGTCGGCAAAAGTCTGCCTCACTTCATCAAGCTCAATCACTGGCTCGAAATCTACTAAATTTCAGCTTCTGTGCATTTTAGGCCAATCTTCTAGCGTTTAAATGACACTTGAAATTGCGAGGATATGGGGATGCGGGTGAACTTAACTTACCTTCTGAAGGAACAGTGTTGTCTTCTGGAAATAGAACTTTCCACAGTGTTGACCAGTCCAAAACCTGAGTCCGTGATTTCCTATCGGCCAACTTGATTCCTTTCTCAGTAGTTATCCCATCCTCTGGGTCATGGTGAACAACCCTGTAGATTCCTTGCTCGCGGATCATGCACATCTGATCGGATGGCACTCGGATATGGTTGTCAAGGGCTTCTGATGTTGGGAAGGGTTCTTGACATCGCCGGCAAACAAATGAATTGGCTGTCGTTCTCTGGTGGAATAACCTGATATGGCGTCTTGGTCAAGGATCAGCAGTGTGTTCATAAGCTGCTACCCAATATTAACAATACGACTCACTTCACCAATGAAATTGAATCATGCGCAACGGTCGCGCAGCTTGGGTGTTGACGGATATTGAACCTCAGAGGATTGCGCTTTCGATAAGGGCAGGTATAACGACCATGAGTCTTACCCTTCTTTCGTGTCTTCGACCCAAGTTCCATGCATTTATCATTTTTTTCATCATCATCATCATCATCGTTGTTGTTGTTGTTGTTATCCCCTCTTTTGGAGGGGCCGCCTGATGCATCAGACCACCGTCGCTTCCTGTTTCTGTTGACACTGGATTGTCCGCCATCTGCGAGAAGAGAGTTTTCCATCGCCGTTTGTTCAGGATCGACGCCTCTTGAATAATTGTGGACAGATTGCAAATGATCTTCAGATGGGCTAGGAAAATGCTCATGTGAAAGTGAAGTAATGACCGACAGTTCATTAAGACACCTGCGGACGCTCTCCCATGCCTCTTCAGGGCGGGAGACTTGATCAAGAGATACGTTGAAAGCGTTCCTCAAAACCAGACAACAAACGTCGTCAATTGAAGGACTGCTGCCCCTTGAAGAATCCGAGGAATCCACCGATTCCTCACTGTCCTCAATCTTAACCACGGCTGAAGGCTGTGTGATTGTATGGCGCCTGTAAATACTTCAGCATGAATTCCAGCTGTGAAAGACGTGTCAACATTCATTGGCGGACTTACTCGACCTCGGATGTATGATGCACTTCCTTAACTTCTCCAATTTTAGTGAGATCTTCCAGTTGTGCCCACTCCATCTTGCTGTTTTCTACCCTCTGCTCAATCTCGAGAATCTCGCGCATTCTCTTAATAATTACCTGGCTCTTCCCGTCTCTGGCATGACATTTGATCACCTTATCTGCACGTGAATCTAGGTACCACTCATCGACGCTGTTCAAGCTCATTTTGCCAATTCCCCGCCCAGCTGGTACAGCAGGCATGCCGTACCAACCCCATTCATCCAGTACAGATGAGCGTAATTTTGCTTCGCCTTGGCCGGACAGCCAGGCAAAACATGCCTCCAAATGTGCATAAGTCACAGAGTCATTCCCCGACTTCTGAATCTCATCGGACAAGGTTCTCAAAGGAGTCCGACCGTGTTTGTCTCTGGCATGGACGTTAGCACCTTTGAGAACAAGCGTTTTCATCGCAAGCTTCCTTCCGAGCCGAACAGCTACATGTAATGCGGTTTCACCAACACGATTTCGGGCTTGTATGTCGGCCCCCAACTCTAGCATCTGGTC